TAACAATGGACCAATGAGTTCTTACTGACTGTTTTTTTTTTAATCGAAAAATGGCCGTCTGCTAGCGGCAGACCGCAAGACTGAAGAGGAAAGAGAATGTGTCCTTTTTCCCATTCCTCCTCGGTTTTGTAGCACGTGTTCTCGACTGAACGGCCATAGCCGCGAAAAGACCGCAAAGCAAAACGACAGCAACAACAAAACAAGCAAACTGAACAAAAAGAAATAAGATGGTCGAACCGTAGGAGTTGGACCTCGGTCGCTCTCGGTTGACATTTTATCCAGCAATGTATTACTTTCCTCCAACAATTCCTGTGAAATACACGAAGAACTTTATTTTCTAGGAAACAAATTGGACTGTGAAAGGTACACTTGTGTTAGTAAAGTCAGTAATGATTGGGAACGATCAACAAATTCTCGTTAAATTGGCCTACTTACGTAATACAGATCTCGTGTTTGGGTGGCTTCGTGTAGCTCTTTCCGTAATGTCTTAACTTCAAGTTCCAAATGAATCGACTTTTCATCCGGCTAAAGAACAAACAACAGTTACACAACACTAGATTCATATAAACGGTTCTCTATACAAAAAAAAAAACAACAACAAAAATTGACCCTAGTCGCTGAAAAGAGCGACCTGTTGTTGATCATTCATTAAGTAAATGCGATATTTCATGGCTGCAGTAACCATTTTGAATGTGGAGACATGTTAACTGAAAGTGATTCTTTTTCGTGAAGGACGGAAAACTATGGCAAACTGAAGAACAAGAAACTGAAGACATTGCCAGTAAGGGGGCGCCACATTTTGACTTTTTTCCTTCACTTTCTTATTGTCTGGAACCCAGTTAACTTTCATCCTGTCAGCTCCACCATGACCATAAAACCTCTGCTGGGTTGTTCAAAGCCCGAATTTTGGTTTAGGTTTAGTAACTTTTTGGCAAGTTTGTCGGTTTACATTGTTTGTTCTTCTGTTTTGAGTTTGAATAATCTCAAACTACACAAAACATAAGCAGTGAAAAAAAATTATACAAGAAAAATTAATACTTAATCGGTTAATGTTTAATCCTGGGTTAGCGTAAACCGGCTTTCGAACAAACCAGCCTTGGAGGTTACTTCAAAAATAGCGCCCAGTTAGTAGTAATTTTAGATAATATTATTTATTATAGTAAAACAAATAAAAACCTGTACCTCTGTCTGCATTTCTTTATCTTCTTGTGCCGCGTCGATTATTGGAGACAAACACCTTCAGATGTAGATCAGAAAATAGACTGCTGACAGTCTGTTTTCCTCTTGATATTCAGTGGGGGTTATGAGGCGAGACGTTTTGGCTAAAGGGGAATGGGACGAGACATGGCCATACCGCCCTATTTCGTTGGCGATGACTAAACACTCGTCCCAGTGACTTAGAGAAAAAACCGGCTACCAGCAGACAAATCAGAAAACAGGTTTAGAGTGAAAGATGGAAGAAATAATAAGAGATGTGGTGAAGCGAATAACGAGCCGATAGAGAAGATAACGCGTACTGATAACAAGTCTCTCTACTATTGCAGCGAACAAGACAAAAACGTAAACTGTTCTTTCTCAGTGACTCACTGCGTTATCTTTTTATCTTTCGGCTGGTAATCGAGCCTACGTTTGACCTTTGGGGATAGAAACCTTTGTTCCCCAGAGTTCTTTTCTCTTTTCCCCCACTACTCTCTCGCTCCAATAGACGGGGGAAGTAACCTAGCAAAGCATAACAGTCACAAACCTCTTTGCTCGCGGACTTGCAAAGCCCACTTTTCTTCGGCCATTCTCAGAATTCTTTCGCTCTTCTTCTTCTTCTTCTTCTTCCAGAGTTGATAGGAACGCATCTCTGGACATCTCGTCAAACTCGCTTTCCTCAGTGTTTGGGCTCGATGAGATTCGTGCCAGCTGAACTTGCACCGAGTTTGCCGCAAGAGCAGCAGCTGAAGCGAGCGGAGCATTTGCAAGAAGAGCCCCTGGACACCAGGTCTCACGCCTCTGTGCCAAGAAAAGAAGAAGGAAGTGTTAGTGACCTGGAAACCATACTGTAACTCGTATGTGTTAGACCAGACTCGAGAGAGCAGTGGAAATCGTCTCTGTAACTAATATATCGGGGTTTCGCTACAATAGTTTTCCGAGGTAGAAAAAACTTGAGGGGTCCATAATAAACCAAAAAGAACAAAGAAGCTAAAGTTTCAAAGATTACAGAATACAAACGACGAACTTGAAAACCTTTAGACCACATGTTTAACGATGTTCTAAGCCATCGGCAAATGAAAAAAAAACCAACCTTGGCTATTCTTGCTTTGCTCGGTTTAATGCCAGTCTCTCGCCCGGCTGAACAAATCATATCGCACAGCTTTTTTATTTTCTCCTTCTGTTCGCTCTACAGGGATAGATGAAAAACAAACATGTAGCTACGCCTAGCAAGCTCTCAGGAAATAACCTGCCACAGACTGACATCCTATACAAAAGGGAAAATAGCGACACTCAAGTTACTATAAGTACACTTCAGTGCGCATTGAATGGCTGACTTGCCACAAGCCGACTTCTAATTCTAAGAGCGAGGAAGTCGCGATAAACGAACGAAGGAAACGGACTTTGAGAAAGTCTAATTGAATGGTGAAAACTCGAGAGTATTTTTCATACTTGTTGTCTTCGTTGTTGTTCCAGCATCTCCTCCATCTGAGATAAAAAATAAACAAAAAAAACAAAAACAGTATATTGAACCGTGGTAATGGATTTTATGCAATAAATATGGGAACCGATAATTGGAAAAAAATCCTGAACAGCTTTCAATAGCTGACCTTTTTCAAGACAATTATAATGATCTACTTTTGACAAGCTGTCTGTGTGACTTTCTTATCAAAGGATTCGTCAACTCTTACCTCGTTCACTTTCTCTTTCTCGAGTTGTAACTCCTGCATGTGCGATTTGCTGCTCATCTGAGAAA